GGAAGAGCCGAAGGGTCAGGCACGTGGCTAGTGAGGGGCGACGGAAACGAGACCACGCGCCCCTGGGATGCTCCGGGACTCCCAAGCTCCGCCCCCAAGGCGGCAGCCGGGGCGGGGCGCGTGGGTCACGTGGCCGCGCTGACGCCGACGTGGCCTCCGGCGGCTGCCTGACGTATCCTTCGCTGCGCCCCGTCCACCCGTCGGCCCCGCGGACCGGTCCCAAGATGGCGGCGCCCAGCGGAAGGAGGAACGGCGGCGGCGGCGGCGGCGCGAGCCTGTGGGCTGCGCTGCTCCTGGCGGCCTGGGCGCTGAGGCCCGCGGAGGCGGTGTCCGAGCCCACGACGGTGGCGTTTGACGTGCAGCCCGGCGGCGCCGTGCACTCCTTTTCCCAGAACGTGGGCCCGGGGGTGAGTGCCGCTGCCGAGCGAGGGGCCCAGGCACCCGGAGAGGGGGTGCGGCCCGAGGCGGGGGCTCGCACTTCGGGGACTGGGCCTGAGGAGGGGTGCACTTCCGGCCTGGCGACTTTGAGGGGGCCGGGCCACTAGCCTCAGTCCTTGTCACCTGTCACATGCCCAGCGTGCCCAGGCAGCCCTGTCCCCCACAGCCAGGCGACTACACGGCCATTGGAGGGCACGGTGGGGGCGTGGAGGGGCGGTGCACAGAGGTCAGGAAAGGGGAGTCGATCCTGAGGGGTGCACGCCTCCCGGCCCCTCAGAAAGTCGGTCCCGGTGCTGCTCCGACTAGGGAGGAAGTGGACAAACGTTGCTCTTTCATTCCATGGTGTGAGGCCAGACCCCCTTGCTCGAGGCAGCAGGCCTGGGTCCAGTCTAGCCTTGTCCCCGGCTTATTGGAAAAGTCGCTGCCCCTCTCGTCCCTGTAACAACCATATCGACAGTCACTATTTGTTGATACTCTCTTACTGCTGGGTATTGTGCCGAATGCTTTCTACGTTAGGCCCATTTTGCAGATGAGGAAACAGGCTCAGAGAGGTTTGCACCTGTCAAGATCCACAACAGCACAGAGATGGGCCCCCAGGTGTCCCAAAGCCCAAGTTCCTAGAAGAGTGGGTGCAACCCCCCCTTTCTGCTCTTCATCCCCCAGAAGCCACACGGATTGTTTTTCCTGCCCCAGGAGCTCACTAGTAGGGAGGCAGGGGAATTCCAGGTCTGCAGACCCTGGGAGGCCCTGCGGGTCAGGCTCAGCCTCCTTCCCCTGAGCACAGATGCCCAGACTCAGGATCTTCTTGATTCTGGATGGCAGAAGGGTGGCCTGAGACCCTGCACCTTAGCACTAAGGTTACCCGCCACCAAGCCTTTTCTTCCTCTTCCATTTTCTAGGACAAATATACTTGTGTGTTCACCTATGCTTCTCAAGGAGGGACCAATGAGGTGAGTTCTACAAAATTCCATGTAAATTAGTATCACAATATCTGTCGTCACACAGAGATTCTTTCCAGGATGTGTGTTGTTAACTTATACTTGTTGAACTATTCTTGCTTAACCAATGAAAATGAAAGGGCTCAAGTTAAATAGTGACGGTAGCTTCCACTCGTAATTCCACGGGGCGAACAAGCATCTGGACGAAAGACGAGGTGTGAGAGGCCACTTCCACGAGCCTCTGTTAGGAGTTGCATATTTGTTTTCTGTGCTGCCTGACAAATCAGCACAAACTCAGCAGCTTAAAACAACACTCACTTACTATCTTTCTATTTATGAAGCACCCAGGCGGGTGCTTCATAAGCCAAAACCAAGATATCGTCTTCCACGCTCAGTTTGTTGGCAGAATTCAGTTCCTTGTGGTCTGGGACCGAGGTCCCCATTTCCTTGATGGCCGTTTTCTCCAGCTGGTGGCAGAAGAGGAAGTAAGGGAGATTCGAAGCAGAGAAGGGTGCAGTGCACCTGTCGCCTGCCTTGAGGGCACCATGTGGCCAGGAGTGTAGGTCGCCTTTAGAACAGGGGTCCCGAACCCCTGGGCCACAGACAGCGGTCCTGTCTGCTGAGCTGCACAGCAGGAGGTGAGCAGTGGGCGAACAAAGCTTCATCTGCATCTGCAGCCGCTGGCACTGCTTCAGCTCCGCCTCAGATCATCAGGCATTAGATTCTCATAGGAGCACTGGTCCCTGGTGCCCAAAAGGTTGGGGACCGCTGCTTTAGAAGGTGAGAACAGCCCCTTCTAGCAGCAAGGGAATAAGGGCTTCAGTATTACGACCGCAAAGAACTGATTCTGCCGTCACCGCTTGCGTTGGAAGAAGACCCCAAGCTCCAGTGGGAACGCGGTCTGGCCTGCACCTTGATCTTGCTTGTGAGACAGCAAAGGACCCAGCCCCACCATGCCCAGCTCCCCCCCGCCCCGCCCTTTGGCAACTGTCAGCTTGTTCAACACATCTACAAGCGTGCTTCTGTTTTGTTTTGTATATTCGGGGTTTTTTTGTGGTTTTTTTTTTTTTAGATTCCACATATAAGTGAAACCATATGGTATTCGTCTTTCTATTTCTGACTTATTTCACTTAGCATAACGCATTCTTGGTCCATCCATGTTGTCCCAAATGGCAAGATCTCATTCTTTTTTAGGGCTGAATATATGTACCACTTCTCGTTAATCCAGTCATCTGTGGGTGGATGCCTAGGTTGCTTCCGTTTTGTGGCTATTATAAATGATACTTCAGTGAACATAGGGGCACGTGTACCTTTTTGAATAGATGTTTTTGTTTACTTCGGATACATACCTATAAATCGGATTGCTGGATCGTAAAGCAGCTCTATTTTTAATTTTTGAGGAACCTCCAGACTGTTTCCGGAGCGGCTGCGGCCATTTGCAGTCCCACCACCAGCACACGAGGGCTTCCTTTCCTCCACATCCTCGCCAACACGTAGTGTTTGTCAGTTTATTGACAGGTGTGTCTTACTGAGATAAGTTCCTTCTGTTCCCACTTTGTTGAGAGTTTTTATCATAAATGGATGTTGAATTTCGTCAAATGCTTTTTCTGCATCTCCTGAAACGATCGTGTGATTTTTATCCTTGGTTTTGTCGATGTGATGAAGCCATTAATTGTTTTGCGGATGTTGAACCCCACAGCCTTGCATCCCTGGTATAAATCTCACGTGATCATGGTGCATGATCCTTTTAATGTACTGTTGAATTTGGTTGAGAATTTGGTTGAGAATTTTGGCATCTGTGTTCATCAGGGATATTGGTCAGTACTTCTCTTTTTATGTAGTGTCCTTGTCTGGTTTTGATGTCAGGATAATGCTGACCTTGTAGAGTGAGTTTGGAAGCGTTCCTTCCTCTTCAGTTTTTGGAATAGTTTTGGAAACACAGGCACTAATTCTTTGACTGTGTGGTAGAATTCACCTGTGAGACTGTCTGGTCTTGAGCTTTTGTGGGTTGGGAGTTTTTCGGTCAGTGATTCAATTTTATTGCTAGTAATCGGTCTGTTCAGATTCTCTGTTACTTCCTGGTTTAGTCTTGGAAGGTTGTATATGTCTGAAAATTCGTCCGTTTCTTCTAGATTGTCCAATTTGTTGGCACGTAATCGTTCATTGTATCCTTTAATAATTCTTTGTGTTTCTGTGGTGTCGGTTGTAATCTTTCATTTCTGATTTTACTTGTGTTCTCTCTTGTTTGCTTGATGAGTCTTGTCTGGAGGCTTGTCAGTTTCATTCATTCTTTCAAAGAACCAGCTCTTAGTTTCATTGGTCTTTTGGTTTTCTATTTTCTATTTATTTTATTTCTGCCCTGATCGTTATTATTTCCTTCCTTCTACTTTGAACTTTGTTCAAGTGCTTTTGCTGTGACCCAAAATTTTGTAAACTTGTGTTTTTATTTTCATATGTCTCAAGGTAGTATTTGATTTTCTCTTTGCTCCATTGGCTGTTTAGAAGCATACTGTTTAATCTCAACATATTTGTGTTTTTTCCTAGCTCTCTCGATTCTAGTTTCTCGTCATCGTGGTCAGAAAATATGCTTGATACAATTTCAGTCTTCCTGAATTTATTGAGGCTCGTTTTGTGGCCTAGTATATAATTTCTCCGGAAAATGTTCCCTGTGCACTTGAGGAAAAAGTGTAACCTGCAGTTTTTGGATGAAATGCTCTATAAGTATCTTAAATCAGACTGGTCTAATGCGGCATTTGAGGCCATTATTTCCCTATTAACTTTCTGCCTGGATGATGTACCCATCGAGGTAAGTGCTTGGTAAAGTCCCCAGCTGTTACTCTGATTTCTGCCTATATGGCCATTACTATTTGGTTTCTATACTTTGGTGCTCCTATGTTGGGTTTTATATTTTATATCTTCTTCTTGGAGTGACCCCTTTGCAATTAGGTAATGTCCGTCTTTGTTTTTTGTTACCGCCTTTGTTTTAATGTCTGTTTTGTCTGATAAGCACTGCTACCCCGGCCTTCTTTTTGCTTCTCTTTGTGTAGAGTATCATTTTCCATCCCTTCACTTTTGGTCTGTGTGTGTCTGTCCCATCCCTTCACTTTTGGTCTCGTAAGTAGCATATAGATGGATCTTGTTTTTATTCATTCTTCCATCCTGTGTCTTCTGATCGGAGCATTTAGTCAATTTACATTTAAAGTCATTACTGATAGATGCTTATTGCCATTTTGTTCATTGCTTTTGTTTGTTATTGTTCTTTTCTGCTCCTTCTCTTGATCTGTTTCCTTTTGGTTTACTGGTTTTCTTCAGTATTCTGATTGGGTTCCTCTCTCTTTACTTTTTGTGTGTTCTTTGCATGTTTTTGGTTTACGGTCACCATGAGGTTCATAGATACCCATCTATATCTATAGCAGTTGATTTTAAGCTGACAGGCATTCAAGTTCAAGCGCGTTCTGAAAGCACTACATTTCGACTTCCCCCTCCACTCTTTATGTTTTCGAAGTCATTTTTATATTTTTGTTTTGTGTATCTCCTATTTATCATAGTTATAGTTAATTGTGCTGCTTTTGTCTTTAAACCTCCATATTCGCTTTTTAAGTGGTCGATTCACTGTAATTATTGTATATTTGCCTTTACATGTGAGATTATTTTTCCTTCCTGTATTATTTCCGGTCATGGCCTTTCCCGCATGAAGAGCACCCTTTAACACTTCTTGGAAGGCTGGTTTGGTCATGGTGAGCTCTTTTCGTTTTTGCTTGTCTGGGAAACTCTACCTCGCCTTCAGTGCTGGAGGATAACCTTGCTGGAGATAGTACTCTAGGTAGTGGGTCCCTTTCTTTCAGCACTTAAATATTTCCTGCCACTCCCTTCTGGCCATAAGTTGCTTCTGAGAAATCAGCTCATAGCCTTTTGGGGTTTCCCTTGTACGTGACTTCTTGTTTCCTTCTTGCTGCCTTCAGGATTGTCTCTTCGTCCTTTTGCCATTTTAATTCCAGTGTGTCTAGACGCGGGTCTCTCTGGGTTCCTCTCGTTTGGAACTCTGCTTTTTGGACCTGGATGTCTGTTTTCTGCCCCAGGTTGGGAAAGTTTTCGGCCTTTATTTATTTAGATATTCTTTCTGCCTCGCTCTCTCTCTCTCCTTCTGTAATCCCTATAATGTGAATATCAGAGTGCTTTATTTTATCCTAGAGATCTCTTATCCTCATTTAAAAAAAATTTTTTTTTTTAATTTTGCTGTTCTGATTGTGTGATTTCCAGTATTCTGCCTTCCAGGTCACTGATCCATTTTTCTGTAGTAACTAACGTGCTGTCGAGTCCTTCCGATGCGTTCTTCACCCCAGGTACTGTGTTCTTCTCTCTGACTGGTTCCTGTTACGTTTTCTGTCTTTGTGGACGTGCTCGCTGACTTCCTCTGTTGTCCTGGCATGTTTGTTGAGCATGACTACGACCGTTTCTTTGGATTCTTTGTCAGGCAGGTTGCTTATCTTCGTTTCGTTAGGATTTTTCTCCAGGGTTTTTGTTGTTGTCGTTCCTTTGATTGGGGCATATTCTCCCATCTCCCCATTTTGTGTTTGATTTTCTGTCTGTTCCTATGAGTTAGATGGAATAGCTCTCTCTCCCAGTCTTGAAACAGTGGTCTCTGTGTCAGATGGATGTGGCGATCGGTTGAGGTTGGGCCGGGCACGAGCGGCGCCTGGTGTGTCGCAGCCTGGAGGAGTAGGTTCTGGGAGGGGCGGCCTGGCGCGGCTGCTCGGCGTGCACTTGGCGTGCCGTGTCACGGGAGCAGGGTCTGATGGGGCTGCTCAGTGTGCCCGAGGCTCGGCGGCCTCTCAGCTCCGCCCTTGTCCTCATGGGCAGCCTTGTGTGCACATGGCGAGTTGGGCGCCTTCCCCGGGCGGGCGGCCCACGCTCACAGCGGCGCCCGCCTTCTCGGCACTGTCTGGACCGGGGAGCCCCATGTGCGCACAGCCCAGTGGACGCGTGAAGTGGCACCCCGCGGTACCTACTGGGTCCTCCTCCGGGTGGAGGGGCCCCTGGTATGCGGGCCGTGGCGCCCTCTGCTCCTGCTGGGTCTAAGTCTAGGAGAGGTGGCAGGGGATGCTGTCGGCCCCTGCAGGTCACAGGCACCGGATGGAGCTCTGCCCGCTGGCCACGTACAGGGGAAGCCCCGCAGCGGTGCTGGCTGGCCGCTCCCTCCCGGGGAGCTCTCTGGGTTCCCCAGCCTTCTCCATCCGGTTCCTCTCGTTTGTCGTGCAGAAGTGGTTCAGTTGACTCACAGTTGTCTCAGAAGAAATGCTCTAAATATAGGTGCACCTTCGCCGTGTCCTTGGGAGGGGGCCAGCTCGGGCCACCTACGCCACCGTGGACCCGCCTTCTGAATTACACATTTTAAAAAGGTGAATTGTACAGTCTTTGTAAACTAGCAATTGGTTCCCACATCCGTGCTCCAGGCAAAAGGCGCCGAAGTGACCATTTACTGCACTGTAATTAATGCTCCCATTAATGAAAAAGCCATGACGTTAAACTGGGAGCATCCGTCATCGGAGGTCACGATTACTCCGGGGGGCAGGCTGTAAACTCGTGGGACTGGCGACCCGGAAGTGCCTCGGGCAGCCGGGAAGGTGACGGTGGTCCCGTTTCCACCTGGCCCCTCCTCAGGGGCCATGAGTTCGACTGTGCTGGTAGACTGTGCTGTGTTTTGGAACCAGTTTAAAATTTTATTTTAATTACTTTTTAATTTTTAAAAAGCGAACACACTCACATTGTCCAAAAAGAAAAGCATGTAAAAGTTGACAGTGCCTTCTAACTGTTCAGGTCTCACCCACACCCCATGGGCGGGTGACCACGTTTATGAACACCTTGCGTCTTTTCCGAGGACTTCTTTATGCCTACACGAGCAGGCCTGAGTGCACTGTCCTCCCTTCTTTTCTTATTGTTGTTATTTGTAAATAGATTTTAATTTCTAGAGTTCACAGCAAAACTGAGCAGAAGACAGATTTCAATGTATCCCCCTGCCCGCCCCCACTCACGGCCGTCTCCAGGGAGCGGGACGTTTGTCACAGTGAGAACCTACACCGATGTGTCATGTCACCCCAAGCCCATGGCTGACATGAGGGTTGGCTCCTGGTGTTGTGCATTCTGTGGGTTTGGTCGGATGTCTGATGATGTGTGTCACAGCGAGTAGCTTCACTGCCCCGAGCAGGGCGTCGGGGCACCTGGGGGCCAGGCTCCAGCCGCGTGAGCAGTTCGCTCACTCTGCAGAACTGGAGGCACCCAAAGCTCTCAGAGCTGGCCCGTGCACGGCCCCGCCGTGTGCCTGGACTGACCCACGCCTTCCCCGTCTCCCCAGAGGTGGCAGATGAGTCTGGGGACCAGCGAAGACCAGCAGCACTTCACCTGTACCATCTGGAGGTGAGCTGGGGGTCCCGGCGGCGGGGTCTCCTGGAAGGAGGTACGCTAGCCCAGACTGCAGGGGCGAGCACACCACGGGGAAAGGGGGCAGACAGACCGACGGGGTCCCACAGCCCAGAGGCACACACAGGGGGCGTGCCACCCTGTGCAGGGGGTTACTGGGGCGGGACGGCTCCCCAGGGACTGAGGCCAAGAGGGGCTTGGGGGGGCAGGGACAGTGCAGCCCAGGCAGTGGCCACAGCACCCAGGAGAGGAGCCAGGCTCCCCAGATGCTACGCCCCCATCGTCACCCCTTGAGTCACGTTCATGGGTTTGGTCTCCCCTCCAGGGGCTGGGGCCTTGTCCCCGCTTCTCGTAGCTGCACCGCTGATGCCCAGCCTGGGGCGGGGGTGGCGAGCCCGGGATGGGGTGAGGGAGACGGAGTGTGCAGCCCAGTGGGGGGAGGGGCAGCCTGGAATCATGTCCCTTCTGCTCTGGCTCCTTGGCCTGGAATGTGCCACCCCAAGCGGAAGCAATTTCTTGAGCATTTATTGTGTGCCTGACATCGAAGAATAAGCTGTGGCTCCACCCTAAGGGGACTTGGGTCCACAAGGGGGACAGATCAAGCTGTGACTCAACAGGAATCAAAAGAAGCAGCGTGTTTTAATTATATGTGCAGGTGTCGCCCCAAAGTCTCCTGCTCAATGCCGCTGTGGGAGTCCTGCCTGTTTTGCTGGACTCCCGGGGACCCAGGTGCTCCCCAGGCTGCACCCTATCTGTGCTGCCTTCGCGGCCTCAAAGAGAACCGTCATGGAAGCAGGGGACCGGGGTGCCATCCTTACTGGGCTGCTGTCCTCACGGGGCATGTGAGCCCCGGCTCTCTCGCAGGCCCCAGACACCTGCCGACCCCGGGGCCACCTGCTCAGCTGAGAGGTCCGGCGTAAACGGGCCTGGGCTCAGATCTCAGACATGGCTGACCGTCCACCCGCACAGGGGCTTAGTCTGAACAGCTCCCTGGACGCCCCCTCTGTGCCTGCCACCCCCCATCCCATCCTCGCCCCCTCCTCCTTGGCCCCCTGCTACTTTCTCTGCCCCCACTCCATACGTGGCCCAGTGGAGCTCTCCACACTGCAGACATCATTGTCCTCTTGCTGTCACCAGTTCTCCCTTGTCATCTCTCTGCCATGGCATGCTTAAATGCCCCCATTTGTCCCCTCTGAGGCACCTTTGCGGCCCCCATTCCCTCTGCCCAGAACAGCCCCCCTCTTTAACTCCTGGACTTCTCTCCCTCGGGCTGTCACTCGGCCCTGTGGCAGTGCCTGGGATGTCGTGGCCACTCAGTGAAAGGATGCAGTGAATGGACATGAGGGTCCCTGTCCTAGAACAGCTTGCTTCTGGGCAGGGAAGGAGGCCTGTGAGTGACAGGCTGGGAGAATGTTCTGCCGAAGAGGAGAGGGGGCGATGCTCAGGTCCCTGTCCTGTCCCGGAATCAGCCGTGCTTGCCAGTGGTTTCCGTTTCGGGGAGCCAGGGACACGTGGCCCCAGGCCGAGCCCCGGGCCGACCCCCGCTGGTCTCTCTGCAGGCCCCACGGCAAGTCCTACCTGTACTTCACACAGTTCAGGGCGGAGGTGCGGGGCGCCGAGATCGAGTACGGCATGGCCTACGTGAGTACCGGGGGCGTGGGGGTCAGACCCCTGGGGACAGGCAGGATGAGGACAGGGACATCGAGTGCCTACAGGGGGATTTTGTAATTTGGAAGAACACGGAGCACTGCGCAGACCTCCAGGCCCGGAAGTGCAGGGGGCAGGGGCTGTGCCCACAGAGGGGCCCTGCTGGCCGGGCAGAGAGCGGACACCCCGGTGTCCCTGCCCTACTGCCCTCAGCCACCTGCTGGGAGAGCCGACATTAAGTCCGAGGGCAGGGGCCTGGGTGCTCGGCCCTGGGACAGGCACAGGGGCGGCCGGGGTGGCCGTGGCTCGCTGGTATGTGTGGGGCCACAGCCTTTGGCTCCTTGGCCTTGGGGTTCACGTCCCGGGCAGCGCCTTCTGCTGCGCTCCTGACCCCCACTGTCCTCTGCCCAAGGCTGGCTGCACTGCGGAGCCTGCCCTGCTGCTGCGTTTGGGTCAGAAAGTTCGAAAACCACTCGTATCTGTCCAGGTTCAACCAGGGAGCGGGACGAGTAGGAGACGGGTGTCAAGAGGTTCATTGCCAGGAGCTGGCTTCTGCCACGGGCCTGGCCAGGTGGGTCCGGAGCCCCAGGCCGGGCGGCAGGAAGGCCGGCGCTGCCGCCCCACTGATGGCGCCAGGCCCACCAGCGCGTCCAGGAGAAGCCCCTGAAGTCAGCGCAGGGCGGGCTTCTCTGTCCCTGGGAAGGCCCCGCAGTGAATGGTCTCAGCTCTGCGGGAAGCGGAGCGCAGAACCCTTCACGGCAGCCCCCAGCGAGAGGCTCGTGGCGGAGGCTCCAAGTCCACCAGGTGGCCTGTCACACTGTCGAACCGATGATTCTCCAGGGTCCCTTGCTATTTTAAAACTATTATTTAAGCTGATTTGAGAGGCACACAATTCTGAATTTTAAAAATTACGTTCAGGAGACTACCGTGATTGCTTCATTGCCGTGAATCGAGTGCCACCTGCCTGGGATTTGCAGCGAAGGCACAAATCTTCACGCGGCCGGCAGCCTGTCACGGGGGTGGAGCAGGTGCCCCCGGCCCCTGCGCTTCCCAGGGGAGCAGACAGCCGCGCTCTGTCCTGATATCTGTCCTGACCGGAGCCTCCGCTTTTTCCCTCATAGTCCAAAGCTGCATTTGAAAGAGAGAGCGACGTTCCCCTGAAAAACGAGGAGTTCGAAGTGACCAGAACAGCAGGTGCGTGGCGACGGGTGCGGACGCGGCGCCCAGGTGCTCGGGGAAGGGGCAGGGGGGTGAGAGGTGACACAGAGGGCCAGGCAGCCAGCGGGGCCCGCCCCTGCACTGCAGCCCTGGAGTCCGCACACTGCTCCTGTGAAGGCCCCACGTTAGATGTTTTAGGGGTGCACGGCCTCTGTTGAAACTGCTTCAGCTGCCCCGTGAGGCACAGGCCACACCACGTGTCAGTGAACGGGAATGGCCACGCTCTAACCACACCTTACCAACACGGAAATGTGACATCCGTATCACTTCAGTCTCAGAAAATACCACTGTTGTTTGGATTTTTATTAAACTATTTAAAAACAGCCCCCATAGCTCTCGGGGGCGGGCCACGCGGTGCCAGCCCCTGGTCGCTGGGAGCGCGAGTGTCCTCGCATCTGTGGAAGGTGGAGGGCCATGAGCTCCCACGGCCTGGCCGACCTGGGCTCTGTGACCAGGAAGAGTTTCACGACTAGGACTGCGGGCTTGATGGGGAGGCAGGGGTCACCTCATGAAGCCCCAAGCGCCCCCGACCAGAGTCCTCCAAGCCACATTCAGCCACGAAAGGCGGAGGCTGAGCAGAAGAGGGTGGGGAGCTCCAGAGTTGGGGCTCGGCCTTACAGAGCAGGGGGCAACAGCACGTGGTTGGGACAGTGGACACAAGTCCTGAGGGTACTGGTTTCAGGGGACAGGTGAAGGGAAGGAACGGTGTGGCTGCGGCAGCCACCAGGCATCAGAGTGGGGGGGGGCATGGGCGGGGCTTTAGGAAGGAGGGACCCAGAGGTCTCAGCGACCTGAGTAGAGGTCAAGGACAGGAGCTGGGTGCCAGCTCAAGGAGTCAGGGTCCGGGTGGGAGTTGGGGGGGTGGTGTCCAGAGCCCCCGACCCTGCTGTGAAAGCACCACCTGGGCCTCAGCCACGTTCGCCAGCGCGAGAGGGAGGTGACACAGCCTGGCCCCAAACCTGTCCGTTCTCAACAGGGCAAAAATGGCCACAGCTCCTCCCCTCTTGGACTTCCCTGTGGCCTCTCTCTGCCCTCGGGACAGGCCCCCCAACCTCCGCCTGTCCTCTGTCCTGCACCTGCAAGACCTTTGGGGCGCGGTCCTTTCCACCTGCCGTCCCCTGGGGACCGCTCCCCTGCCCCGCCAGGTCCCGCTGCACCCCACCTGGCCCAGGGCCCGGAGCCCCTGGGAATGGCGAGGGCTCTGCCACGCGTTTCTTCTCCCTGCCCCGCCAGGTCCCGCTGCACCCCACCTGGGAATGGCGAGGGCTCTGCCACGTGTTTCTTTTCTCGCAGTGTCCCACAGGCCTGGGGCGTTCAAGGCCGAGCTGTCCAAGCTGGTGATCGTGGCCAAGGCATCCCACAGTGAGCTGTGACCGGCGGCTGTCCCTGGGACGGCCAGCACGTTGCTGGCTGTCTGGGGGGACTGTGGTCTTCCTGGGCTGACGCTGCCTGGCTCGGAGGGGCCTGCAAGGCGGCCGGGGGCATGCTGGGCCCCACCCCCCTCGCTCTTCTGGACACAGACTGGGTCTGAGCCCCGCAGCTCATCTCACAAGGAGAGACATCGGCACAGGAGGGGGCGCAGCTTTTCTGGAGCCGTCGTGTCTCCCCCTGGATCAGGCCAGGCCCCAGCCGCCCGGGGGAGAGTGGTGCTGCCGTCCCCTGCCCAGGCGACTGCTTTCTTACAGCTTCCCCAGGGACCACTACTTTTCAGACTAACTGGGAAGAAATGTTATATTTAAATAAATAAAAGTTAAAAAAGCAGTCGCGTAGACTGGGCGTCGCACGGGTACCGCCTAGCGGGCGTGGGGGCCGTGGCTGGAACGGCAGCAGGGGGCTGCCCGCCCCGCCCCACCTCCCTTCCCTGTTGGAGATGGTGGCCTTGTGTCCCCAGGACACATGGAATGTCTGCAGGTACAAAAGCAGCAGGTCTCAGGGCAGGCAGCCGCGAGCCCGCTCCAAGGGCCAGACCCTGCGCCTCACGGAGCCGGCAGGTCACCCCAAGGCGCAACCGCTCTGCAGACCAGGTGATGGTTTTGCTTTGTTTTTTAAAGCCAGATTGCAGCATGGTGATTCAAAAAAACACAGGAAAAAATAACCCCCCCAAATGCCCCAGCCACTCAGTGGGGGCTCTGGTGTCACAGCAGTGGGGGGCTGGGCGTCTGACTCCAGCTTGACCGCCAGCCTGACCTCTGACCATGTCTTCATGAGCACACGGGGCTTGGGCTCCTTGCTCACCCGAGTCGCCTCACTGCCTCCCACCCCGTGCCGACCTGCGGAGCTGGGCGCTGCTGGCCCCACTTGCCGGAGGGCAGAGGACATCGGCTCCTGCCCACGGTTGCACACCTGTAGGAGGCAGCGCGAGTGCCGATCCGTCCACACCCACAGCGAGGCCTGCGGTAAGACCAGTGCAGACCGAGGCGCATGAGAGTGACGAACAAACAATTAGAGAGGCACCTGGGGCCAGAGCCTCTGGGAGAATCGGCGTGTTCTGCCACCTCAGGAGAGCAGGTCGCAAGGCTCCACATGTCCACAGGGAGGGTCACTCGACCGCGAATGGCCCAGCTCCATGATATGATGAGCACGGCCACCTGCAGGTCACAACAGGGCCCCCTCCAAACCGGGCATTGGGACACTGAGCCCCGAGGGGTCAGCCCAGAGTCACTCACCCCCTCTGAATCCCTGGTGTCGCCAGAGAGGCAGAGCGAGGGGTGCGGTGCAGCGGGACGGGAGGCCCTCTCTGTCCTCGCGTGACGTGTGCGTCTCAACGCAGCTTTCTGCAGCTTTGGAGAAAGCCACCCTGGCCCCAGGCCCTTCCGTCACGAAAGCCTCGTTGGGGCACGCAGAAGCCACGCCCTGCCGCTTCTCTAGACTACCGTCCCCGCGCCTGGTACAGCGGAAATTGGACCCATTGGCAATGGCCACAGACGTGTGACATTCGCCTGCAGCCTCAAATTAAAAGGCAAAATCTGTCAATACTTTGACCCACCATCAAGAACCACCTGACGGCCCACTGAACAGAAGTCCTGTATCTAAGGATATAAAGAAGCCACGTCGAGCCTGGTAGAGGGAGCAGAGACACGGAACGGGCAGGTCCCACACCCACGCATGGCGGTTAAGACTCCGGAGGGATGTCTCAGCTGTGGGAGGTCCCCCCTGGGGAGCGCAAGGTCTTGGCCCCACACTGGGCTGCCCAGCCCAGGCCACCAGTGCCAGGAAGAGACCCCCGTGACATCTGACTGCAAACCAGTGGGGACTACGTCCGGGAGAGACCAAGGGGTGCTAGATAACGAGGCGCTGTTGTAAGGGCCCACGACAGACTCGCTGTCACAGGCTCCCCCAGCTCCAGCGTGGGGCGGGTCAGCTGTTCACAAAGCACCAGGGGGCTGGCAGGGCTGGGGCCAGGTGAGTCAGACACCATCGCTCCTTTGTTGAGCCCTCCTCCAACCCAGCTGGCAGGCCCAGGCAGACACCTTATCTGAGTCTCCATGAACCTGGCTAATGGTTTTACCCCCCGGTGATTCCGAGACCCCACCCCACCCGACTCGCTTGCCCGGCCAGACCCGCTTCCAGCCTTGGCTCATGCTGCGGACTTTCCCCTAGACCCTCCAACTTCACACGAGTGGTGGCTGCCCTGGGCTTGCGCTGCAGACTCCTCAAAGATCCACAAATCCCATGGAAGTTCCACCAGACTCTCAAACGTCCACAAACCCCAGATGAGCAGTGGCTGGCCTCGGTGTTCTCGCCAAGCGGCCTCAGCCCAGCACAGGTGGTGACTGGTCTCAACTTGAATTTTAACTCCCTTCAGGTGGCCCCAAGCAGTGGCCAGTCTTGGCCTGGAACATAGCTCAACTGAGTAGCCACAGACAGACTTGGCACAAGTGCCCGTGGGCTGGCCTCGGCTCGCATCGTGGTGCCCGCCAAAGGGTCCCAAGCTTGGCAACAGTGGCAGCCAGCCTCAGTTCACACCATAGCCTCTCCTGAGTGCCTGTAGGCCCAGCATGCCTGGCAGCCAAGCACAGTTCCCTGTCCAGCTCCCACCATGCAGTCCCAATCCTGGCACAAGGGGCAACTGCCCTTGGCCTGTACAAGCCCCCCACCAGCACGATGGTGGCTGGCTGGAGACCATACCAGAGCTCCGCTAATGTGATCCCCACTCCGGGGGTGTCAGCCCCGACAACAGCTCACTCGCCAGCCCTCACAGCCAGTCTGCATGAGAGTCACCCCACTCGCCAACATGCCAGCAGCAGTCAAGGTTGAACTACAATCCATGCAGGGGACATCCCCGGAGCACCCGGCTCAGGTGACCGAGGAGACAGTGGCACTCTGCCCAACAGGACACCTACTACGTAAGACTACTCTGTCAAGAACGGGAGACAGCAGATCTTACTAATACACAGAAACGAACACAGAGAGGCAGCCATAACGAGAAGACAAAGAAACATGTACCAAATGAAAGAACAGTAGAAAACTCCAGAAAAAGGACTAAATGAAAGGGAGACAAGCAATCTACCAGACACAATTCAAAACACTGGTTATAAGGATGCTGAGTGAACTTAGGGGAAGAGAAGATGAACTCAGAACTTCAACAGAGTTGCAAAACATTAAAAAAGAGATTATAATGAATGAACTAGAGCAGCGGTCCCCAACTTTTGTGGCACTAGGGACCGGTGCTCCTATGAGAATCTAACGCCTGATGATCTGAAGCGGAGCTGAGGCGGTGATGCTAGCGCTGGGGAGCAGCTGCAGATACAGATGAAACTTCGCTCGCTCACCTGCCGCTCACCTCCTGCTGTGTGGCCCGGTTCCTAACAGGCCATGGACCGGTACCGGCCCATGGTCCAGGGGTTGGGGACCCCTGCTCTAGAGGACATCGACAACAGATTAGATGAAGCAGAGGATCATCTCAGCAATCCGGGAAACAAGGCAGTGGAAAACACCCACTTGGAACAGAATAAGAAAAAAGAATTTTGAAAAACGAGGACAGTTTAAGGGACAACATCGAGCATAGCAACATTTGCACGGGGGTACCAGAAGGAGAAGAGAGAGAACAAGGGATTGAAAACCTACTTGAAGAAATAATGACTGAAACCTTCCCTCACCTGGTGAAGGAAACAGACCTATAAGCAGAGAGTCCCAAACAAGATGAACCAAAGAGGCCCACACGGAGACCCATCGTAATTAAAATGGCAAAAGTTAAAGACAAAGAATTTTAAAAGTAGAAAGAGAAAAGCAGCTTGGTACCTGCAAGGGAGCTCCCATAAGACTATCAGCTGATTTCTCAACGGAAACTGTGCAGGCCAGAGGGATTGGCAGGAAATGTTCAAAGCGATGAAGAGCAAGGACCTACAACCGAGATGACCCAGCTGCGCCATCGTTCAGAATCGAAGATAATAGAGCTTCCCAGCCAAGGAAAAGCTAAAGGAGTTCAACACCAAACCACTATTACAAGAAATGTTAACGCGTCTTGAATAGAAAAGAAAAAATATGAGTTAGACGACATAGGAAAGGGAAAAAAAATCTCACCGACAGAGGCAAACACTTAGCGAAAGGAGCAGATCAAACAACCGTGAAGCCAGTACAAAGGCCGGAAAGACAGAAGAAGGATGGGTGGGTGTAGTTACGACAGTAAATTCAGGGACACACACACAAAAAGTAAAACGTAATGACAAAAACGGAAACATCGAGGGAGTAAAAATGGTAGTGATTGTAGAACGTGTTCGAACTCAAGTGACCATCGACTTAGAACGGATTGCCGCAAACACAGCTCGGTGTACATGAAGCACTGGCGACCACCAACCAGAAGTCCACAGGAGAGACCCCGGAAACAGGAAGGAGCCCAAATACAACGCTGCAGAAAGTCAGCAACGTACGAGAGAGCTACAGAACGAGAAAGGAACCGAAAAGAACCGCAAAACCAATCAGAAACAAAATGGCAATGACTGCTTAGCCGTCAGTAATTACCTTAAATGGAAGTGGATTAAATGCTCCGATCAAAAGACACGGGGTGGCTGAATGGATAGGAAAACAGGACCCCTGCACATGCTGCCTACGAGAGACTCACTTTCGATCGAGACTCCCACAGAGGAAGTAAAGGGACAGAGAAAGACGTTTCACGCAAATGGAAACCAGAAAACAGCTAGGAGAGCGATACTTACATCAGACAAAACAGACAAAACAGACTTTAAAACAAGGGCTGTAATAAGAGACGAAGGACATTTCATAATGACACGGGGATCACGCCAACAAGTGGACACCCATGCCCAGCACAGGAAGCAGATACCGACGGTGGCAAGGCACGTTGGCCGTGGCGGGGACTCAGCACCCCACCAACACCCGTGGACGGGCCTTCCAGGCAAAAACAAGGACGCGCGGCCTAAATACCACATTAGTCCAGAAGGACTGAATTGATATTTTTAGGACATTTCACCCAAAAGCAGAATCTACATTCTTCTCAGGTGCACCTGGAACACTTCCCAGGACAGACTACTCGTCTGGCCACAAAACAAGGCTCAGTAAGTTTAAGACCGAGGTCATAGTCAGCTGTTAAGCATCTTCTCCAGTCACAATGCATACTTATGAAACTAGAACTGATACAACTTAACCCCCCAAAAAACCCAATCCGACTAAAAAAATGGGCAGAGGATCTGAATAGACATTTCTCCAAAGAAGACATACAGATGGCCAACAGACAGAAACGCAGATGAAACCCACAATGAGATGTTTATCCTCACAGCTGTCAGAACGGCTGCCAGGAAGTCACTAAACAAGTGCTGGCGAGGACGTGGCCAGGGAGGCCTCGGGCACTGTTGCTGGGACTGCGAACTGGCGCAGCCACTATGGAACACAGTGTGCAGATCCTGTCCAAAAGTCAAAGTCAGTCATATGACCCAGCGGTTGCATTCCTGGGTATTTATCCAAAGAAATCCAGAACGCTGATTCAAAAAGACATATGCATCCCTGTGTTTGTTGCGGCATTATTAACAGTAACCAGGATATGGAAGCAGCCTAAGTGTCCGTCGATAGACAACTAGATAAAGTGGTGGTGGTGCTGGTGTGTGTGTGTGTGTAATGGAACATTACTTGGCCGTAAAGAAGAGTGAAATCTTGCCATCTGCGACAACATGGATGGACCTAGGGGGTATTATGCTAAGTGAAACGAGTCAGAGAAAGACAAATACCATATGGCCTCATATGTGGAATCTGAAAAAACAAGCGAACAAACTCATAGGTACAGAGGACAAACCGATGGTTGCCGCATGGGAGCGGGGGTGGGGGTCTGGGTGTAAAGGGGGAGGGGATTAAGTACAAATTGGCCGTTAAAACATAGTCACGGGGATGTGAAACACGACACAGGGAATACAGTCAATGATATCCTAATAACCGTGGTGTCAGGTGGGTCCTGGACTCATCAAGGTGATCGCTGTGTAGGTTACATAGATGTCTGACCGCTGTGCTGTGCCCCTGAAACTAATGCAATACGGAATGTCAGCTGTGACTGACAGATGCTGCGAAGGCAGAAACCCTGGGTGGGGAGAACACTCCGATGACACCAAGCGGTTCCGTCACCAGTACCACATCATGACAGTGGAAGACCTGCACCTTTATTTAAATCGCCGTGCAGTGCTCTTTGGTTTTCCAAAATTAAATCTCAAATGTATCAAGTCCAGAGAGGCTGGACAGCCCAGCAGGAAACGCATACAAAGCGTCATGTGCATTGGTAAATTCGGTCAGCAGAGCCGAGGGCAAAGGACTTCCTCTGGGGCTTCTCGGGGCACTAGAGATGCACGTTCGCTCTTGAATTTGAAGACCCCGTCTCTCGACCGAAGATAAGAGGGGAGGTTGGCCGTACAACGGTGGAGGAGGAGGCAGGAACAGCTGGCTCTCGGGCGAAAGGCTTTAGCTTCTTCAGGGCTGTCGAAACCAAACCGCTGCAGAAATGCAGAAGGGCTGACCGGAAGCTGGGGTTAGTGCAATGGGCCAGGGAGAGGCGACAGGGAGTGGTGGGGACAGTGGTGAAACAGAGGGGACCTCCATGCAGCCTGACCAGCGGGCACTGCAGGCTCAGGGAGCTTTCAAGAGAAATTCCATTTAGATTGGTACGTGCCATTTCCCCCGTTTCAAACGTTGGCAGCTCGTTTCAGATGTCTCGGACACCGGCCGGGGCCAAGCAGACCCATCTCCTTGCCTAGCGAGGCCTGCACGCCTCCTGTTTGCAACCTTTGCCCCAGACAGATGGACCCAGTTCTCCGAAGTCACGAGGCATCATTCTCCCTCCCCCAAGGGCGGTCAGAATAACCTTCCCGACCCGCCTTGGCCAGACCTGCACTCGTGTCTTGCAACCCAGGCCCCCTTCTGACAAAAATCATCGCAAAACCACTCCCACACCCATGTGTCCATCCATCCACGGCCGGGCCGACAATCGCTCTATCTGCTGGGTTGAGCTTTGCTTTCTGAGGTCTGATAAAAAGGTTTGTTTGTGCGTGTTTTCCAAACGTGAAACGGTCCTTTAAAAACGTGCATGCAACTCAGATGGTGCTCCCCTCTCGCCCCGCCTGGGGGGCGTGCTCTGTCCCCTCCCGCGTGGGAGTCAGGGCAGATGGAGGCGTCCCCACCCACACGCCAGCACCCACCGCAGCCCTCCTGTGGCTCGCTGAGCTCGGTTCCCTGGGCGGCTGGAACGGAGCCAGCGGGCAGCTGAAGCAACAGACTCTGCTCTCGGTGACGGAGGCCAGGCTGGTTCCTCCTGCGGGCTGTTCCAGGCCTCCCTCCCGGCGTCTGGGGGTGGCTGGTGTCCCTTGGCTTGTAGACCTTGTCTCTGTGTCCAGGTTCCCGTTATGGAACCGCTGTCACGGGCGTTAGTGGCCCACCGTGCCCCACCATGGTCTCTACTAGTCTGAGTCACACTCAGACATCCAGGGGTTAAAGAGTGTCACCCTGCCACTCCCTCCCAGCTCGGCATGACCCGTGTCTGAGGCACATATAGGCCCAGGTTACATCACTGAGTGGGCGGTGCCGGCGTTCAGGTGACATCAAGTGACTCGAGGGGTGCAGACCAAGGGCCATCGTGGCTCAGGACAGGTGGACCAGAGCAGGGAGCGGTCTCAGGGTGCGTGGGGAGCTGCCGGCCTGCAGTCTGTGCGGGCCCGCCCTGAACTCCTCTCCCCAGGGAGACTGGGCGGGAGAGGCGCCACGGGGCTTTAGCACTGCTGCTTTAAATGGCTCAGCACCCTCCGGAGGCGGGTGGCGGGGGCTTCTGTCCCGGAGTTTGGCCAGAATCAGACTGGGAAAAACAGTGGTCACAGGGAAAGGAGAAGAGAGCCTACAGATCCCCGACCCCCAGCAGGAAGGCCGCGGCCGGCGTCATATGCTGTCGTCGTCCAGCATCCTGGTGAGCCCCTCGCAGATCCGGCGCAGGTGGGAGCGGTAGGGCTCGGCGGGGCCGTAGAGCGCGGCCAGGAAGTCGCAGTCGGCGAAGTGGCCGAAGACGTGGTTGATGCGGCCGTGGGACTTGGCAGTCAGGTGCGGGCCCACGGCCTGGTGCAGCAGGTCGCGGCACTCGAGCAGGGCGGCGGCCAGCACGCGCCGGTCGAAGGTGAAGTCCACCTGGTGGAAGCTGACCGCCGTCATGGCCAGGCGGCGCGCCCCCTGGCGGAAGCGCTGCAGCAGCGCCAGCTCCTCTGCGCCCAGCTGGCCGCCGCGCAGGAGCACGCCCAGCTTCACCGCCACCTTGACCAGGTTCTTGACCACCTTCTGAGCCTCCTTGCGGCTGCGAGTGAACTCCTTGATGGCGCGGTACAGCTCGTCCAGCACCTCGCTGCTCGTGTCATCGATGAACGCGGCCGCCGTCGCCTTGGAGGCCACCTTGCTCAGGAGCTTCTTCTGGGCCTGCAGGGCCAGGCTCTTGGTGCTGAAGGTGTCCATCCGCCCTGCGGGGGCAAACACGGCTGGAGTCAGTGCCTTCCACCGTCTCCCCAAGCCCCTGCCTCTTCCCCTCAGATTCACCCGTCAGCTCGGCCTGGACACCACCTCCTCCAGGAAGCCATCCCTGAACAGCCAAACTGACAGGCACCCCCTCTGGGCCACCTGAGGCCGCCCCATCCCGGCTCTGCTCCCCGACCTTGCTTCCCACTGGTCGGCCAAACCTCGGGCCATGGCAGAGGCAAAGGGCCTGGCTCCGAACCTGCCACGTCTTTGGAGACTCCAGAAACTTCTCCAGAATGAATGACAGGGGCCGAGACCCGCCCCCAGCCCTCACCCACTGCCCCAGGCTCTGGTCAGAAACCACCCACACTGGCCCCAAGCCGACCAGCCCAGGAATGACACGTGGGCGCCCACTCACACCCCGGAGCCCCCACAAAGCCCGTCTTTGTGCGAGCTCAGACCTCAGGCGAAGTCCCCACCCTCAGTGCCCACCCTCCTGCCCGCAGAGGTCAAGGCTGCACGGGGATTACTGGACCCGCCTTCCCTGCCCCCACACCAGCCACCGGAACTCAGGCCAGAGCGGGGCGCTGCAGGCAGCATGTGCTCACTTCGTCATTTCCACCGGGCACTGCGTGGGTCACCCATGTTGCAAAAGCAAATACAAAGGCCCGGAGAGGCCGAGCCACTTCCCCAAGGTCACAGAGCAACAGTGACCACCTGCCCCCAATGCCTGCCCACGTCTAACCCGCTGCCTTCTTCCCAACTGACACCTGCGAGGCGCCCCCAGTCTCAGAGGGCCAGGACCTGTCCCCCTGTGACACACTAGCTCCGAGACTCAGGGTCTGCTCCCGGCTCTGGCCGCTCAGTCAAGCAACATAACCACCCCGTGCCTCAGTTTCCTCATTTGTAAAATGGGGAAGGTCAGAACTGCCTCTGTCCTGGGGCAGCAGCTCGTGGCTAACCCCAGTGCCCCTCAGGCTGTGACTGTCCCCCGAGGAAGAGGCTGGACACCACCTGGCATCCCTCCATTCAAGCTCTAAGCCATCCAGCAACCGGCCTGTGCAGACCACAGAGCGGCAGCAGCTCCAGGCTGGTCACCTGTCACATGTACTTATGCCTCCCAGGTGCCCCCTACCAGTTTCTCTAGAACATTCTATTCCGTTTCTCTACCTGGACCCCTCCTCCCATTACTCATCCTGTAAAGTCCTGCTCACCCTGCAAGTCTCAGCACCTCTTCACCTCGTGGCAGCCCCGGGCTGTGTGGGGTGCCCTGGGCGCCCATCACGGTCCCAGGCACGTTGGTGTCCAGGTCCACGTCCCTGGCCGATGGTACACACGGGGGCTGCATCTCCCTCCTTCGCACCACGTCCCCAGTGGCCAGCCCTGGGCCTGGCACTCGGCGGGTGGCCCAGAAGGGTCTGCTGAGTGCATGAGGGGTGGGGTGTCTGCAGACCGTGGTAATGTGGGCGCTCCCGAGGCCATGGGCCCAGTCTCCCCGGTCTACAGATGGACAGACTGAGGTTCAGCGGGGAAAGGCCTTGACCTTCTCATCCACAGGTCCTGCATGGGTTCCGTAGGGGAGCTGGGCCTGTTTGCCGGCTTTAGGAAGGGCCTGGGCACCACCCCCTCCGGGCAGCACCTGGCTCCCACAGCCCAGAGGAAGAGGGGTGCAGGCAGAGGCTGCTGCAGCCTTCCCAGCCTCCACGCCCCTAGCGCCTCTGGCCAGCCCGCAGCCCTGCCACACCTGGGCCAGCCCAGCTGCAAGGCCTCCTCCTCCGTGACCCATTGTTCTGCCAGAAACGCCCCCATTCAAGCAGCAGAGATGCCTGCTCTCCCAGGGGAGCAGGCCATGGACCAAAATAAACCGCGGCTTTCCTTCCTGCTGCGCTCACCCAGGTCGACCGCCGGCAAGCCAGGAGGTGGCCAGGCCGAGCCACGCCAGCCCTTCTGGGGCGGGGCCGCCCAGGAGCTGCGCAGGGGCTCGCGCCAAGGGGCCGGTGGCCCTGGCGCATGCGCACCAAACGCAAGAACAACCCACTACCGTGACAAGCCACAGAAGCCCGCTAAAGCTTTAGCGGCTCTGCCAGAACATTCCTTCAGTTGCTGAATGAGCATTTATGGAGCGCCGACTGTGTACCAGGCACTGGGAATAGAGCAGTGACCAAAAGAGATCCCGTCCCTGCCTTCCCAGGGGTCCCTACCCTCTAGACCCCACGTCACCTCCTTATTACAACACAACGTGGGTGCTCCAGTACTGCGCTGAAATGGGATCCACAGGCGCTACCTTCCACCTCCCCCTGCCAGTTTCAAAGTCAAATTAATAGTGATAAAGGCCACCATCTGAGGGGATTGAGGGGGTGGGGTCTGGAACGTTCCATGTTCGGTTCAATCTAGGTCCCTACGAACGTAAATGTCATCGAGCTGGACGGCTGCGCGTTCCTGAATACACGAGAAAGCGGGAAGCCTACACGTCAAAAGGCGGATTTCATGGCGTGTCAATTTTATCTAAATAGAAGAATATCGGCTCCATAGCTCAGAGGTTAGAGCGCTGGTCTTGTAAATAGGGGAATATCATTCCCCTAACATTTCTCCAAAGAAGATACACAAATGGCCAATAAACAGCTGAAAAGATGGTCGGCATTACTGGCCGCCAGGGACACGGAAGTCAGAATCGCAATGCGATAGCACCCCACCCCCCACTAGGATGGCTCCTAACAAAAAGACAGACAGTGACAAGTAGTGGTGAGAATGTGGGGAACGGGGGCCTCAAACACAGCTGGTGGGGATGAGAAACCGTGCAGCCGCTGCGGAAAACCACACGCACACCATTACCGCAGGACCCAGCAGTTGCACCCCTAAGCGTCTCCCCGAAAGAAACGAAAACACACGTCCACACAAAACCTAGCATGTGCTCACAGCAGCACGATTCATGTGGCCGAAAAGCTGAAGCAACCCCAATGGCTGCCAGCAAGTAGAAAAACAAAATGTGGTCACCCACGGGCTGCACTGTCACTCAGCCATGACAAGGAGCCACGCACCGATAGGCGCCACGATGCTCATTGAGAAGCCAGACACAAAAGGCCACACGGTTGTGATCTCATTTACGTGACACATCCAGAGGCAGGAAGTGGCCTAGTGGTTGTCGGGGTGGAGCAGGGGCCGTGACTGCTGATGGGGTCGGGGCTTCTTTTGGGGGTGGCGGAATGTTCTGGAATTTGAACACTTTACAACTGAATTTGTATCTCATGAAGCAGAAAACTTACTATATACATTAAGCACACATACTTTATACCTCTGTGCCCCTTCCTGTATATATATCTTATACCTCATTTTGATAATGTTAAAATGAATTTTAAAATGTTTAAAGGAGGATTTGGCCCAAACCGAAAATGAACGGGTCCACCAGTGGAGACTCGTGAATGGCTTCCGTGTTGCCGGGAACTCAGGAGGTGTTGGGTATGTGGCTGAGTACAAAGAATGTCCTTCCCTAAACACTCAGGCTCACTGCACCGGGCGGAGCAAGTCTATGAGCAGTTCGCCCAATGGGGACAGAGAGGGGAGTGAACACACAGCCATAAATTCCCATCAGGAAAGAGCTCCGTCTCCCCTTGATGTACCCAGGAATAGTCACTGAATATTAAAACCAGGCAAAACCCCCGCTCGTCGGCTTACGTTTTTGGCAAGATGTCAGGAAGTCACAGGGGCCCAGGGCTGCCCTGAGCGTGGCTGGATGCTTAGTGTCCCTGGCCCCTGCCCCCAAACACCAAAACATCCTGCTATTATCACAAGCCAAAAAAGCCCTCCAGATTTCCAAAACAGCCTCCTAAGAGATGTCGTCACCCACGCTAGGAGGAGGAGGAGGTGTCAGAAACCAGTGAACGTAGAACTAAACAGGATAATTTCAGAGAGAGATACGGACCATGGGGACAGAGAGGGGAGTGACGGCCAGGGACAGGCAGGTGACTGGGCTGGGGTGGTCACGAAGGCCTCTCTGAGAGGAGCCCCTGGAGCTGAGACTGAAAGGACAAGGTCTGGGCGGAGGCTGAGCCGGGCAGAGGGCACAGCCTGCACTAAGGCCCTGGGGCAGGCCCGTGCCCGGTGTGTCAGCGGAGCAATGGGGCCTGTCCGCAGCCCCTGCCAAGTGATCCAGACAAGCCCCACACCCTAGGGGCAGGCAGCTTTCCCATCTGTGAAACGGGTGTCCAGAGGCCGAGCGGCTGTCGACTCCTGCCCTCCCCCGCATCCTTCCCCAGAACTGCAGACCGGTCCACGCTTCGGACGTTTGCCGTCTGCCGACCGCGTTCCATCTTTTGGATTCCAACTTTCTCCCTCAACCCCTTTTAGACACTCCAGCTCCCATCATTAGCTGGGAGCGACTCCCCATCCACCTCTGCCCCCTGCCCCTGGCAGCCACTAACCAACCCACCCTCTGTCTCCGTGGACGTGCCTGTTCTGGACATGTCACATAAATGGAATCGCACACCGTGTGGCCTTTCACGTCTGGCGTCTCTCAC